CCGGAAAAGGTAGGTACCAGTGGGAAACATGAGACATCGCTGATTGGACGACGGCGCCGTTTGACCCTGGCACCCCAAACATAGCTGCCGTTATCCAGGAATATTTTGAATCAGGACATACGTACGAGGTGATACTGGATATGCTCAATACTGATCACGAAATTTCAGTTAGTTTGCGTACACTGAAGACACACTTAGGTTAATGTAATTGTGTTTTTCTTAATGTAGTTGCGCTTTTAGATTTGTAGTTGCAGTTTGCACTTCAGGGCCACCGTATATCTGACAGCCAAACAGCTTTGCTTTCACAAGCAGAACATCATAATGGTTGCCGTAAGCTTTCTATTTGTACCTGTATATAAAACTTAATGAAACATTCAGGGAGTAAAATCGTACTAAACAGACACAGAGATAAGTTTATTATTTTATTTGTTTACAAAGGTCAAGTTTAACATATTGCAGTGATTTATTTCTTAGGTTTTGTTTCCTTTGTGCCAAATCTAGTGTTTTGATTGAAAGTTTAGTGGAAGGAAAACATCTGGTAGAAAAAGCTGCACTAATAGTGATAACTCATTAAGTGCTTCAGTCCACCTTGTAAATAAATCCCTTCAGATGGACGGCTCAGAGGAGGACCTGGATCTCCATGACGACCGCATGTCCTACCTGTCTGCCATGAGCGCAGACTACCTCAGCATGGACAGCCGTCTGACCAGCGACTATGACGACACGGCGGACGAGGGCGGGGCCTACACGGACAACGAGCTGGACGAGCCGCTGGACGAGCCTCAGCCCGTCTCGGCCATCAGCAGGTCGTCGGAGCCCGTCCTGCCCGAGGAACCGCGGCGGATGAAGCGGGCCGGGAGCAGAGAGGTTCTGAACAGGGAGCCCAGCCCCCCGCCGTCATTCGTCCCTGAACCTCCAAAGGTCAGAAGCATACCTCCCCACCCCCCCACCATCCTAAACCTCCCAATAAGCTGGTTCTCAGATGGGACGTTCCTCTCCCCCAGCAGGTGCGCGCTCAGACCCGGACCGACTCGACGCGGAGCTACGAGTCCCACTCCAGCAGCACCGTCAGCAGCATCGACGCGGCGGCCGGAAGCAGGCCGGCCCCCCCGCCGGTGGCCATGAAGCCCAGCATCGGGCGCCTGCACCAGTCGTCAGAGGAGAAGGTTCCGGCGCAGGAGCAGAACGAGGACGACCCGGCTAACAAGTCCTTCCTGGGAAAGGTCAGAACCAGCGGAACAAATCCTCCTGCTTTTTTACTCCGTTCCTCCTCTCTGCTTCACTCAGTAAACTCTTTTCTTTTCTTCCTCCTTTGCTTTTTTTCTCTCTGCTGTTATGAACTAGAGAATGACCAATCAGGTAACTCCATGTGTTCACAAGAAAAAAACATTTCATTTCTGTTGTTTCCAGTTGTCTCTTTCTGGTCAGAATCAGTTGAACTGTGATCAGCGAGTAGCTGAGGATAAATTCAGGGTTTTACTGCAATATTCGCTTCCTTTAAGGGATTAGAGGGTTTTCCTGAAAGAAATTTATTTAAAATTTGACAGAAAAAGTTTGATAAATTTAAAATGACAAACACGTGTTATGTTTTTATTTATTTTTCAGTGTTTTTTGTTTTTGTGTTTTACATTTATACAATATATGTTATGTTTTAAATCCATTTAGTTTAGAATTTTTATATATATATATATATATATATATATATATATATAAATAAATAATAGTTCTCTATGGAATTACAGTAGTATTCATTCAAAATTTCCCCACTTTCCTTGCTCGGCCCTTGGCTGTTCCCCTATAATTCCCTTTTAAAGTGGTAGGGAAGTCATATTTAAATGTCAAATCATTCTGGCTTAAACATGTATATAAATGTACTTTTTATCAGACGATATTGTCCCAAAATTTAGAAAATTTCTATTTAAAAAAAATCCTGTCTTAAAATCTGTATTTTTTATCTTATGCAGGCCAGTTATAACGTCAGCTTGTACACCTAAATTCGGCCAATCATATATCAATGCTCATCTGTCAATCAAATGTTTTCAGTCATAGCATCTTGATTCATATGTCGCAGCTAATATACGCAACGGTTGAAATCAGAATCATTTCCTTTCCCATTGAGTTGCGTCCCAGTGTTCACGGGGATGGACGTCTGTGTCTTCAGCAGGCGTAGAGCTAACAGAACTGGCAGCGTTGCAAGGCAAGGGCTCAAACATGGACGGCTGGAAGCCTTCTACACCAAACCAAGCTTCTGCCGCCCTGGCGTCCTCTTCCACAACATCTTCGTCCCGCTTTCCTCCTCTAAATAAAAAATGGATGACGGAGGAGACTCATCCACGACCTCCGACACTAAACTCTCCTCCTCTTGCATGTTTAAAGCATCTTGCTAACTGGTTAGCAACTTAGTGCTACTTGGTCCCAATGGAATTTCCCATTGGGAACCTACTAGCACTAAGTTGCTAACTGGTTAGCAAGATGCTTTAAACAAACCAGCAACAATCAAACTTGCTTGTGAACTTTCTGAAACAACAATGTCGCCCCCCTTCCTAACGGACCAATCATATTCACTTTATTCACTAGTGTAAAGTCGTGCACCACTCGGGAGAATTCAGAAATGCAAACATTGGAACAGCCGCTTCCCTACGACTTTAAGCATCTAAAATATTGTTTCTGTCATGATTTGAGGACATTAAGATCTAAAGAGAAGCGCCATCTCCTGGTCAGACCCTGTAATTCAGTGAAAGGGAGGAATCAGAGTAAAATGTGCATTCTGATGAGAAGGCCAGTGGCTTTGACAGGGAAGGGCCATTTTGAATGGCTGCTACTGTATTAAAGCATCTTAAAAGTTGCTGCAGGAGAAAGAAGGTGCATTTATTACTAAATAATTCATAAAGAATCTCATTAATATGTAGGAACCCACAGTCTCATTACCTCCATTATACGTGTTAGCTTCATAGGAACCAATGCATCCATCTTTCTGTGTTTAACCCTGAATGAAGACGCCAAACAATTAACCCACGCCTCTTTTTCTTCCAGATCAAAGCGTTTGAGAAGATGGACCACCTGGCCCGAGCTCAGAGGCTTCTGGAGCTGCAGGAGGCAGAAAACGCTCGAGTCAGTAACGTGTGGATTTAGAGTTTTACCGGTGCTGCGGTCCGGCTGCCAAACATTCTACCCTGAACGGCTTCCTTCGCCAGCCTGTCAGGTTCTGGCTTTTCTCTCCCGCTGCTCCTCACTCTGACGTTTCTGGGTCTATTCTTCTCTCTGCCTAGTTGGAAATCGCCCAGAAGCATCCAGACATCTACGCTGTCCCTGTGAAGCTGCCAAAACCCAACCTGAACCGCCCTCAGCCAATCGGGTGAGAGCTTTCTCCGACTGAATCACACAAACGAGGACGATGGAGGCCAGACCTGATTGGTTTTTGTGTTCTCAGCTCCAACGCTGAGCCGCAGACGGCGTCCAGGCCTGCGTACTCAGAGACGAGAGGAGCGGAGGAGGAGGCGGAGTACCGCCGCCAGCTGAACGAGCAGACCAGTAAGGGCTACTATAACCCTCAGAAGTACAAGGACACGGAGCTGTGAGGCTCCAGCCGCGCCCATTTACCAGCTTCTGTCGCTCTCTGAACTCTTTATTTGCTCTAACATCTCCTGCCACCAGGTTCGGCTTCGCCGCCGCGTTTAAACTCTGAAAGCCGTTCGTGTCACGGCTGAACACGGAGAGAACTTCCGTCCTGACCGACTCGTTTTCAGAAAGATGTTCTGGTGTAAATATTCACTCTGGCTCTCTGCCTTTTGTTTACTTGGAATATAATCAGATGGAGCCTCATCTAGAGGCAAAGAGGAGACATCCAACACGCCGTTTAGCTGCGAGGCTGAAAACCCAACCGGACCAAAAAAATGGAGGATTTTTAAAACCAATCAGGATGGTTCTCCTTTCACTGGTTAAACTGGGTTTGATGAATAGTTTTCCAGTTTTAATGAAGGTCGTTCAGAACCTGCAGGAAGCAGAATATGATCCAGTTACGGAGTTAAACTCTCTCCATTATTGTTCCAAACAAAAAAAAAAACAAACACATTTTGTGAATATAAATTTAAAAAAAATCCAGATTTAATTTAAAATTTAATCCAGAAATTAGGTAAGAAAAAAACATTTTGATAAGAAAACGTTTTTAAGTGTTACTTTGCCGTTTTTTTTTTTTTTTTTTTT